TTGTTGCGTGAAGGAAATTCTGTAGATGACAGGTATTTCTTTTATGTTAACAAATGTATCAAAGTTTTAGTGTTGAAATTAACATGCCATGATGAAAACAAAAAGATTCCACCATCTTCACAAATGATTTGAAAAACATCACCAAGATCAATGGAACTCTGTACTGACTTCAACTTATAAGTAAGTACTGGGAATGTATTATACAATATGGTAAATAGAATTCACACTGTATGTTATATATTAAAGCTGTTAAGAGAGCAAATCCTAATAGATCTCATAACAAGAAATAATTTTTTTTTCTATTTCTTTAACTTTGTGTCTACATGAGATGGAGAAGGGCATGGCAACCCACTTTAGTATTCTAGCCTGAGAATCCCATGGACAGAGAAACCTGGTGTGCTACAGTCCATAGGGTCACAAAGAGTTGGACACAACTGAAGTGACTAAGCACACACAGTATATGAGATGATAAATGCTCAGTAATTTATTATGATAATCCCAACTTAAATTTATATAATGCTGTATGTCAAATATATCTTAATAAACCTGGAATTTAAAAATTTTTTTAATAAAACACAACAAAAACTACATATTTAAACCTCTCTCTCTCTCTCTCACTTAAAAACAGGAAAACAAAACAAATGCTGACATGTTAACCAACACAGTGTTGCCACCTAAACATACTATCATTAGGGCCTTTGTAAACTCTGACCTGATGCAGTCATCTTTCATAGACATGGAGCAACTCTATAACAATAAAATGGTTGGACACTGAAGCCAGGAAAACAAAGATAACAAAGTAAGTCAAGATTAAAAGCAAGTAAGCCAAAAAAAGAGAAAGAAGCAGAGTAGTGCTTTACAATCCAAATTATACTGTTGAATAGTTCATGCAAATTTTCCACCTTGAACATAAAATAATAGTGGGAAAAAAAAAAGTAATAGTGAACAGGGAGCTAAAGGACTGTGGTAAAAGAAATCAAGCCATGTAAGTGCTTTAGCTGAAGTAAGCTATCAAGATACAAACAAGAATGAAACATTAAAACATGTCTTCTGGTCTAAAAACCAGTAAATAGGGAGAAAGGCCTAGAGTAATAATTATACAAGACACCAGGATAGCGACTCAAAGACTATGGAACTGAATCAACTTCAGTTTTTGTTTTTCTAATACTGTAGATGTTGATTTTATTTTTACTTTTTAATTTTTGGCAGCACAGCTGCGGGATCTTAGTTCCCCAATCAGGAATGAAACCTGTCCGTGTATGCTCCCTGCAGTGGAAGCATGGTCTTAACCACAGGACCTCCAGGGGAGTCCCTCAACTTCAGTTTTGAAATGGTATTTATTGCTTATTTTTGGCCAAGTAATTGAGTAGCAAATTTGTAAGGACGCTGATAGTATATTTCTTTTCAGAGAAACAAGATTAGTTTTCAAAGGCAGGTATCTTCTCTTTTTTAAAAAATTCCTTTTAGATTTTAAATATATTACAGAATGCTAATGATTTTTAATAAAAACTTTCTTACAATGGATTTACATCATATTATACCTGTCATTATATCAAATACTAAAAACAAATTTGGGCCCAATAAAAGATGCTGTGCTGAGAAAGTAAGCACATAAAGGAATACTATCTTTCAATATACAATGATTCCCATTACAGTGGTAACAAGAGGTGCAAATAGCAGGAAGATATGGATTAGGTGATTTGTTCAAGGCTCTCTGCTTATTGAGTAGTTAAAATGATTCTGCATGTTAATAGGGAGAATTTTCAAAAAACTCTGCAATTAATGGACAGTTTTTATTTCATTTAATTTTTGCTTTCTAAAAGGAACATTTTAAATGGCTTACTTAAGACTACTAATCTCATTCAAAGGTTTTTAATAATGGGACTATTGACATTTATGTAATTATTACAGTTAGATAAGTTACATATCAAGTCATAATCTTCTAAATATGATGGACATTCAGTGGTTTTTCTTTTTACTAAAAATATCTATAAATACTTTTTCATTTTAAATATTTTTAAAACAAGAAAAAATGAAATCTCAAATAACTAAGATTCAAATGAGAACATGCACATATTTTGAGGATCTACCTGAAAATGCTCAAGTATACCATCAGTTCTGGCTGAAGATTTTTTTAAAAGCATTAAGTAAGAAACTGTCTAGATTTCCTTTAAAATTAAGTTCCAAAGTATACCTCCTACACAAGTAGAATGAAAAGCCTTAAAAACTCTCAGTTTCATCTCAGAAAACAATAAAAAGAAATTCAAATTGTTGCATTACATTTTTATAACACTATAATTACCATACTGATTCTGGTACAGAATATTTTAAAGAATGAGAGACAACGGCTTTTAAGCTCCTTTAAAAAACATATAATAACAAAGCTTTGAATTGTGGCAAAGTTAAGCTCTAAAAATCTAAGAAAACATGAGGTTAGTCCAGATTGTGTTTCAAAGACTGAACTGTGAGTTCTTATTTAAAACTGCAGGTAAAAATAGTTACCCACAAAATGAAGATTCTAAAAAAAAAAATACTATTTAACTTAAAGAACTACCAAACCTAGACATCGAGAACACATCTATGGGATCCAGAAATGTTAAACATCTCTACTCCATGCAATGGGAGCATAGAGTTTTTCCAATTCCAATCCACAGTCCTAAACAGATACTAGGAGATGACAGAAAATAATGAAGGACAAGAAAGATGCTGCCTTTTTAGGTCCAGTTAGCAAGAATTATCAGTCATTTTTTCCTCAGGATTCAAGGACTGATCTGCCTGCTTTATTCACTTCCTGTTTTTCAGTAGGTCATTCGTTGCCCACCTCTGGCTTATAGTAAATCCTGAAATTACTTAAAGGTTTTAAATATCAAACTTACTATACTTTTCCATACTTTCCACATTTTCTATAAAGAACAAGAATTGTTTTTTACAATCAGGAAAATAATATTAAAATTGAAATATCTCTCCCTAGACAGCAAAAGCAGGAAACAGGAATACATTTTTTTTAATGGAAAATTATATATGAAATAATTCAAAAGTAGAAAAAAGGAAAAAGTTATGCACATGAAATTATTAGATCTAATAATTTACAACAGTGAAATATAAAAAGTAAAAGTTCAATAATAAGTGAATGATGATGGCTCATCAACTTGATGGAGTATTATGCACAAGTTATAAATAGAGACTATGTAGCAATAAGAAAAAGATTATGATGGAACACACAGCTGGAAATTATAATTTAATTATAATTACATATAAATATGAATACAAGATGGTTTAAAAAATAGAAAACAATTATGTTAGAATAACAGCATTACAATCTCTGTATTTAAGATAAATATTTATCTAAGCCATTTTTTAATCTTATATTTTGAATGTAAAACAGTATGACAAATGAAAATCTATCTGCTTGTTGAATGAAATTCTTCTAAGGAACTTTAATCACAAGCAACTGAATGAATTACAGAAGACTGTAAGACATTTAAAAATATTTCATAAAAAATTTTTAACTATCAAAATCAGTAAGTTTTGCTATACTTTATACTGCATTTAACAGGTAATTTTTCTTTCTTTCTTTTTTTTTTTCCATTTATCCCTATTAGTTGGAGGCTAACTACTCTACAACACTGCAGTGGTCCTTGTCATACACCGAAATGAATCAGCCATGGATTTACATGTATTCCCCATTCCGGTCCCCCCTCCCACCTCCCTCTCCACCCGATCCCCCCGGGTCCCCCCAGTGCACCAGGCCTGAGCACCTGTCCCATGCATCCAATCTAACAGGTAATTTTTCTTTTTCCTATCTAATATTTTTAGAAGAACTCCTAGCAAACAAGTTAAGGAAGTGACTTTGCTATGGAAAAATGGAAGAACAATGAATTTTATAAGAATTCAGAGGATAAGAATATTAAATTTGCTTATAGTATCTAAGTTTTTATGCTCTATCCTATTTATTTCAAGTGATCAAATACTTCAATTATTAATTTTTATAGATGACCCAGAGCAACTCTTAAGGAAGGCAGAAGATTAAGATCTATTTAACATACCTGTCATAATTTTCAAACACAAAAATTACACCTCTTAGAAATTCTAACTGGCAGAACCTCATGAATGAGAATGAATGCCAGTGTTCATTCCCATATTTAGTAGTAGTAGAAATCATGACAAACAAACAGCATGATTACATTATATACTTATTTTAGTTAGTAGTTATTTTCCAACAATGTTCTGAGGGATTTTGGGAGGAACTGCTGTTACAAGAAATGGATTAAAAGACAATACTTAGAAAGTTTTCTCTATATAAGGGAAATTAGTAAATTTGATTGCCTACAACATTTATAACTATGTATGCCTCACAAAAATTTTTTTAAAATACATAAAGGAATTGTGGAAGAAACTCCAGAAAGCAGTTTAAAATACTCTCTCAAAAAGCAAACATTTCAGCAAGAAGTATAAACCTTCAAGTGGATATTATTTTACAATTTCCCACAGTTGTAAGGATTATTACATTTATGAAGCTGCCATCTAATTTGAAACTTTAAAAAGCCAAAATAGAAGATATTAAAAGAATAGAAAAAGAATGAAATGGTGTAATAATGTTGTTAGGAAGATGACAGTAGCTGTATTTTAAATGTCTAACTAATTAGAAAAACAAAAGAAAAGTACTTAATGATTTGAAAGGTTATTCTATTCTGTAAACATATCATTGCATTTATATATCTCATACAGGGCAGTTAAAAAGGTTCAGGAATGTTAAATAGGACTGGAGTGAGAGGAAGAAAGAAATAAATGGTTTTACCTAGAAAAAAACAGTATGCCCTTTTAAAAATTATTTTCAAATACATTTAATAAATGCAACAACTAAGAACAAGTAGCCAGATTTTCAAGTTATTTTATATAAAGCATGCAAACTATAGATTTGCTTTACTAGTGTTTTCTAAATGTTAAAAATAAAGGAATTAACATTCACACAAAAATATGTGAAATTAAAAATCTCTTACTAAATCGGCCCCTGCTTGAAGTAAAACATCTGCAACATCCGTGTGTCCATTTTCACAAGCGTAGGTTAAAGCCGTGTCTCCTGTTGCTGTTGTAGCATGAACATTAGCACCTGGCAAGCAAAAAAATTACACATTTATTCTGTGATTTTAAAATTATATTAGATAATTTAATTTTATAATTTGGTGAAACTCATAAACTCTACATATGAAAACATCAGAATATATTTTAAGAATCCTAATTTTCCTTTAAATATGCTTTTAAAAAAATGCTTTTAGCCATAAAGAAAGAAGCTACACTAAACAACTAAAAACTATAATAGTCTGTCTATATACCCCCAGTAAGATATACTCTAAGAAATAAAAGAGCTACTAAAACAAAAAATATCAGTTTTTAGAAATCATATTGGCAGTTTTAGTTTCTTCTGAGACAATTTTATGAATACTTTTTATGATTACTAAAATGTGATTCTCAAGCCACAAAACAGTTTCAGAAACTACCCACTTCAAATTAGCAAAAGTTGCTAAATGTGAGAATTAATGGTGACATGATAGAAAAGACAGTGTCATGAGCTCTAAGTTTGAATATTGGCCCTGTCACTTATTAGCTTGATTTGCTTAGGGAAGCTATGTACACAATGACTGTACATTGTATCTATAAGATGTGTGTGTGCAGTGGCCAATGGTAATTAATAGAGATAACACATGAGCTGAGCAGAATGTCTGGTATCCAGTGATTTCTTAGTTAACATTATTTATTCCTTTTTTTTTAAACTCCCTTAACAATACCATGACTACTTAGAGGGATGTGGGAAGAATGAAGACTGGTGAAGAAAGACTCTTGAATAGGACACAGACCATTACAGAAAATAATGAGAGAACAGTAACTGAATAATATACATACATATACTATCTATAGCAAATAATAATTTTTGAGACAAGGAAGAGGTCAGCTTGTATGGTTGGTTTGTGCAATGGTTCAAAATCTAAACAATCATTCAAACCATTAATGATCTGGATTAATAAATTATTTTAATAATAATTCAAAAGAAAAATTGATGCTGGTTATAATCAAATTAACAGTGAAAGCTCAACAAGGATCAATAAAGTTTTGCTAATATTTCATTTCCCTTTATACATTAATTTCCTTATACATCAAATTTTAAACAATTTATTAGACATGAATTTAAAAAATCTGTATTACTTTCAAAGGAAATGTAAAGGTTTATATATGCCTGGATCGATTTTTTCATATATTCTTGCTCTATATAAAACTATATGTAAAAAACACTGATTTCTTACTATTGCTTCACAATATATAAAGCACAAATTATTTTATATAAAGACCAAATATTTCTGCCAAAAAAATTTCCACTTTTTCATTCATTCTTTTTTTTTTTGAGAAGAAATATTAAGAAATGATATTATCAAATGTTATAGAGGTTATCAAATTAAAACCTCTATGTCATCCCTATATTCTCTTACTGAAAGACTGTAGAAGGAGCTAATTTCTCCCCTTCAGAAACCACAAATCATTCAATGGAAAGAGAAGGCCAATGGGAAGTCTTACCATCACTAAGCAAACATTAACTACTTAATAAAACTTGTTTTTTTTTAAAAAGACATTTTTGGAGATTTAAAAGCCTAAGACAAGAGTTAAATTGTGGAGCTATCTTTTAGCCTTTGTAGAAATGAAAAAAATAAGAGTTAATTGTTAAAGTTATGAAAAGCAATATAAAATTCTTTCTCTAAAAGGCGTTTTTTTTTTTTTTAGTTCTACCAGTTTATTGTTACCAACCTATCTCCCTCCACCTTCGTGCACACATGCTCAGTCATGGACTGCAGCCCGCCAGGCTCCTCGGTCCATGGACTTTCCCAGGTAAGAATACTGGAGTGGGTTGCCATTTCCTTCTCCATAAAAGGCGATTTTAAAGCCACATACCAGCAGCCAGTAAGTATTTAACCAACTCCAGGTGTCCCTCCTGAGAAGCCTCCATCAGAGGTGTGGAGCAGCCGAGTTCTATGTCAGCCCCTGCCTTAATCAGGAAGTCTGCAACTTCAGAAAAACCTCCACAGCAAGCTAACGTCAGAGCAGTTTCTTGGGTTTCTTCTGTCTGAGCATTTATATTCGCTCCTGGGGAAAGCATAAAAATAGATAAAACTATAGTTACAAAAGACTTACAATAAAGTGTTCTGATTTCTGATAATTATCGCTTATTTTTTCTGTTTCTGGTGTTCCACCCAGGGTGTTGAAAACTTATTTTATCATCAATGCAAACAATATCTTAGTTGTAATAAACTTCAGGGATACTGACACAAAAATTCAAAGGAAATTCATTTTTTTAATTAAAGAAGTAGAACTATTTTACCTTGTGCTAAGAGTAGTGCCACCATCTCTTCATGTCCCTCCCGAGCAGCTTCCATCAAAGGAGTATATCCTTCATCATTAACTTCTTCAAGATTTGCTCCCCTTTCAATAAGTAGAGCTGCCAATTCAACATGTCCTCCACAGGCAGCCAGTGTTAACGGCGACTCGAATGAATCTGCAGGCATATTCACTTGAGCACCACTATCCAAAAGCAAACGTGCTACCTCTACATGTCCATCCTGCAGATTTTCAGAAGTAAAACAAGAAGAAAGGAATTTTTGTTTTGATATTTTTTAAGTGGGAGAAGAAAAGCTACAGATTGTGGAAAGACAGGAGGGAAGGAGAGGCAGCTTAGATGCATATATATTATCATACCCATCTGAGAAGATTTTTAATCTGTCTTATCAAAAGTACATTAAAATTATTTTACCTTACTTCAGAGTAAGCCCCAAAATTTCCACAAGAATCAGACTTGGTACATACAGTTACAATTTCAAATAATTTTTAATTTCTACATTCTCTGAAGTTCAAAAAACCTATTAAATCCATAGTCAACAGTAACTCAAAATAAAATAATTACTATTTATACTACAGCCAGGGTCAAATATAGCTATAGCCTCAAACTTAAGGGTCATGTTTAACTGTAGAAATTGTGTTAGATCTATTTAAGAAACAAAGACCAAGGGGAAAAATAACAACAAATTCTGTGAAGTCATTACCACTTGGGATTATATCACCAAGGTAAATCCCTGTGGACTGATACTATCCTATATTTTTTCTCATCACTAGCTTGCTGTAATAAGGCAAAGAATTTTACAAAGATGCAAAAATTACTCACTTGTAAATAATTTTACCATGAGCCTATCTGCATAGACAGGCAATTAACAAAATATTCTCATGGAGGTATTCATTCTACCCCTTTATCATCATAAATACATTTCTTTAGTTTCAAATTCTTTGCTTCAAAATTTTATGGGTCTTAACTCCTGTGGCAAATAAAGACAGAGCTGGTATGTTGTTTTTTATTTTAAAAAATGACCCAAATATCTCTAATGATAAGTAGAGAGAGTAGAAAAATAAGATTTTATAAGGTTGCTAAACTCTTTTACTGAAGAACTAATGAAAAAAACCTTAAATATTAGGTTTCAGTATCTATCTAGAGTTTTATTATACTTAACTGAATAAGTTAGTTATAATCACTTTAGCTTTAATGTGAACAAATACTTCACATTAAAATAAAACACATTTTTACCAAATTACTATACTGAGTTATTTGGTGTTTGAAATATACACTTAATTTAAAAGAAAATAAGGGTTTATGAGTGTCCACAAATCTGGGAACTACTATTGTACCCAGCTTCTTTAGGTTCCCAAGACACTGTTTCGTATGAATTTAATTTTTGAAGATTCTTTGTATATTCTGCTAACATATCTAGAGCACAGACCTTAACAGAGAAATTGTGCTAAGAACTTTTTAAATATTAATGAACATTATTATTTCTAACAAAGAAAAAAAGAATACGAAAATAAAATTAAAAAATAATCCACGCTTAAAAAAAAAATTTGACCATATTTTACTGTCCTGTTCAGCAGCACTAAATACATTCACATTGTTATGCAACTCTCATCATGATCTATCTCCCAAATTTTTCAATTTCCTAACATAAAACTCTGTCCCCATTAAATACTAAGTCCCCATTCCTCCTCCCACTTCCCCCAGGCCCCAGGACATCTAACAATGTACTAAGAATAATCAATTCTTGGGCTTCCTTGATGGCTCAGTGGTAAAGAATCCACCTGCCAATGCAGGAGACATGAGTTCGATCCCTAGTCTGGGACGATCCCACATGACAGAGCAACTAAGTCAATGTGCCACAACTACTGAGCTTGTGCTCTAGAGCTGAGGAGCCACAAGTACTGAAGCCAGCGTGCCTGAGAGCCCGTGTTCTGCAACAAGAGAAGCCATAACAATGAGAAGCCCACACACTGCAACTACAGAGTAGCTCCTGCTCGCCTCAACTAGAGAAAAAGCCCGTGCAGCACTGAAGATCCAGAGCAACCAAAAATAAATAAATAAATAAAATAATAATACATCCACTCTTAAAGGCCTAATATCATTATTAGATTTTTTTTTAATTATTCTAAGAATTCAGTCTTAGCCATGAGCAGTAGCTGGGATTGGACTTACCCTCCTATCATAAACAACTATAAAAACTGGGATAAAACTACTAGAGGCACTGGACAGCAACCAAGCTAGGGTTAAGAGTTATAATCACTGAAAGAAGGAAGCATATGAGATAAGTGCTACATTCACTGTAACTTTTTCTCTTTAGGCATCTTCCAAACCATGGCCCAAGGAAATAAAGCCTAAACAAAGAGTGAACATCTTTAGGACCAAAGAGCTAAGGATCTAGGAGTAAAAGTGATGCTGCAATTAATTAAGCCTCAATAGGATCAGGGTGATTCACTGGTAATTTAAGTACCTGATAGAACAGAATGTAACAGCCTTAAAAGAGGGACAGACAGGATAATCCAGAGCCTTGAAAAGGGATCATCTACAGCATATGGCTTACAGTAAAAAACAATTAGACATATCAAGAAACAAGAAAAGGTGATAGACCTCAAGAAATAAAATAATAAAAACTGACCCATAATTGAATCAGATATACGAGATAGAAGAAAAGAACTTCAAAACAACTACTACACTGCCTGTGTGCAGCAATGATAACTCAGTGCAGCCAAAAATAAATAAATAAAATTTAAAAAGAATAGAAAAACAGAGAAAAATCAATGAAACCAAAAACAAGGCTCATCATAAGTTCATACGTAATCTAAAAGAACCCTGAATAGCCAAAAACAACTTGAAAAAGAAAAACAAAGCTGGAAGACTCATACTTCCTGATGTCAAAACTTAAACAAAGATACAATAATTACAGCTTTGTGGTTCTGACTTAAAGACAAACATACAGGCCAATGAAACAGAATAGAGAGACTAGAAATAAACCTTGCATGTATAATCAAATAATTTTTGATAAGAGTGTCAAGTTAACGTTTTTCCTTTAAAAAAATTTAAGTGCGTGTGTAGAGTTAAGATCATGGTGTAATAAGACATAACGTTTTTCCTTTAAAAAAATTTAAGTGCGAGTGTAGATTTAAGATCATGGTGTAATAAGACAACGTTTTTCCTTTAAGAGTGTCAAGTTGATTCAAATGGGAAAAGTCAGTCTTTCTAACTTCGATGCTGGGAAAACCAGATAGTCACATGCATAAGCATGAAATTTAACACTTAACCTAATACCATATACAAAAATTCACTCAAAATGGATTAAAAACCTAAATAAAAGAGCTAAAACTATAAAACTTTTAGAAGAAAACACAGGACTAATGCTTCATGAAACTGGATTTGGCAATGACTTCTTGGATATGGTATCAAAGGCACAGGAAACAACAACAAAAATAGATGAAATGAACTTTTGAAAAACAAACCATAAAAAAATAATGTAAAGTAATTAGCCTCCAACTAATAAAAATAAATGAAAAAAAAAAAAAAACCAACAAAAGCACAACTTTTGTGCACAAAAGGATACTATGAACAGAGTAAAAGGGCAGTCCATGAAATGAGAGAAAATATTTATCATATATCTGATAAGGAATTAAGATCCAGACAATATAAAGAACTTCTAATACTCATCAACCAAAAACAAGCTAATTCAATAATGACAAAGGATTTGAACAGACATTTCTCTAGAAGATATACTGCCATGGAAAACAGTAAGGTGGTGGTAATCCTCTTAATTATATTTATCATATGTGTATTTTAACATGATGAAAAAGTTGGGAAGAAAATAAAAGTACATGAGTGTGCTGGAAATAACATAGCTAAGCTTGCCTTTTGTATGATTTCCTACATCAGTAGATTTACTATGAAAAGCTAAACACTGCACACAACCCCTTCAGTTCCTAAAAATGTACAAAATTTTCAGATTCTTCACCATCTCATAATAATTTTTCCAAAAAACAGTAATAATTCTCAAAGGCTTAAATACATATATGACCCTTTCGTCCCATATAATCTCAAGTGCAATTTAAAATTACCATGCAAGCCTCCATTAAGGCAGTGTGCATCTCATCTGTTTTGTGCTCTTGATCTGCACCAGCATCAAGCAGAAAGCGAACCATGTCCAAATGGCCTTAAAAAAAGAAGAAAACAAATTTTAAAACTATATTTCTCAAGAACTATCAATTTAATATATAAGCATTAAAATGGGAAATATTTTTCTTTCAGATGTCTATACAAAAATTTATAAAAGAACTTATTTTGCATTCAATAAATCAACAACAATTCTACAAAGCCAATCCAAAATAGTAAGCAGGCTCTCATCAAGGTCTTATCTAGGTTTTAAAGATCAAATTAGTCCAAAGCACATTAATTCAAGCTAGGTAAAGCAATAAAATGGTAATACTTATACTTTGATAATCAATCTATATAAACTATAAATCAAAACACTGAAATAAAACAGAATGCCAAGTAAAGTATGTTTGGATCATATTTTTCAGAAAAAAAGCTTTAAAATAATAACCATAAACTCACTGTGGCAATGAGCAGGCACAGAAAACTCCATTTAAAATAATTTCAACCTTCTTGATACATTTAGTATATAAAAAGCCTTAATAGTCAATAAGAAAAAGACAAACACTCCAGTAGAAAAATGGATGAAGGACATGAAATGGCAATTCAAAAAAAAGAAATGAAAATGAATATTAAACTGATGAAAAATATATTAAACCTTCCTACTAAACAAATGCAAATTAAAATGAGACACCATTTTTTACTATCAAAATGGCAAATATTAAAAAGAATGATAATACCCAGTGTTGGTGAGGGTGTAGGGTGGGGTAAAGGGCACTCTCAAACACTGCTGGTGGGAGTGTAAATTGGTTCAACCTTTCTAGAAGGCAATTTGGCAATATGTATCAAAAGCCTTAAAAATGTCCATACCCTTTGACCCAGCAATTCCACTTCCAGGAATTTATCCTAAGGAAATAATCAGAGATTAGGCAAAGATGTCTGCACAAGGATGTTATCACAGTGTTTTTAATAATAGTGAAAAACTGGGAACAATTCAAGTGTCCAACAATAGGCAATTATGGTGCATCCATTTGATGTATTTGGCAGAGACTGCTAATTCCCTACCCAATATCCATTCTTTCATTTTCATCCTGATTTCATCTCAGTGGCAACATGCCTGACCAAAAGACTACATTTTCCAGCCTCCCTTGCTGCTATGTGTAGCCAATGAGATGCAGGAGGGACTTACAAGGCAGAACTTCCAGGAAGACTCCTTAAAGGTAGCTTTCTAAGTTGGAAGGCATTCCTCATTTTGCCCTTACCCTCTGCATCCTTCCTAGAATATGGATTGCTGGAGCCCTAGTTACCATCTTTGAGCATAGATAATAGGTAACCTTGAAAACAGAAACCACATACTAGGATGGTGGAGAAGAAAACCAGAACGCTGATATCTTAATAAAAATGGAACTTCCTTTTTAGTTCTAGATAGCCTATTTTTGTAACTTTAAAATTTTTTTTTAATCCACGCTGCTTGCAGGATCCTAGCTCTCCCACCAGGGATCGAACTTGGCATTCGGCAGTGAAAGCATGGAGTCCTAACCACTAGACTGTCAGAGAATTCCCAGAATTGTTTTATATAAATGAGAATAAGCTTCTCTTTTGTTCAAATCACTATTAATTTAGGTTTTGTAACGAAAGCAGCCAAATCTACCCCTAATTAAAATAGTGAAATACCATGTGAATATCAAAAGTTGTACTACAAAAATACTTATTAAGCTGGGGAAGTGTTAGTGATGTATTGCTAAATAAAATAAGCAGACTATAAAACAGTGTTAGAGTATGGCCATTTAGTTTTTAAAATGTATATATACATTTTGACCTGTGGACAATGTGGAGGGTTAGGGTACAGTCAAAAATCCACATCACAGTTGGCCCTCTGCACCCATGGTTCCATATCCGAGGATTCAACCAGCTTTGAACTGTTTAGTACTGCAGTACATACTTATTGAAAAAAATCCATATGTAAGTGAACCTGTGCAGTTCAAACCCATGTTTTAAGAGTCAAGTGTGTATACATTTGTTTATAAATATACCTAAAAAACACACTGGAAGTAACTAAAATATTGTTTATATGCTTTTTAAATATTTAGATGGTAACATTATATGTTATTGTAAAATTTCTTTACACTATTCTGTTTTTTAGGATTTATATATCATGTGACTATTATTATTTGAGTGTGTATTATTTTTGAAATAAAGATTGGAAAAATCATATAAAACAAAAGTTATTAAAGAATGAAACCCTCTAAGTCTGTGCTAAGAATTCTGGTTGACTTTACAGCTAGTTGAATAAATTTTGAATTAAAATAATAAGAAAACATATACTATGAAACTGTACTATAGGAAATATAGGCTAAAATGGACTTTCTACATAATGTCTTAGAAGCTAGATAATTCTATAGCACAGGGAAAGCATAGGCAATACAAAATTAATTCATACTCAGTATCCAAATATTTAAATATTCAAAGTTACTATGAAAAAACTCTATAAAAGATATATACATTTATAGAATACCTTTGTAGCATGCAAGTGTAAGAGCACTTTCTTTGAATTCGTTAGAGTGAGTGTTGATGCCTGCCCCATGATCTAGAAGAACTCTTGCAACTTCCACATGACCTGCACTGGCTGCTTCCATTAAGGGGGTATGTCCATTTTCATTATGATCTTCTATATTTGCGCCTTCATTAAGTAGCACTTTCACAATATCAACAAATCCTCCAGCACAGGCATAAGTTAATGCAGTGTTGCCTAACAAAAAGAAATTAAAAATTATGATAAAACTGATACAATTCCTACTATACTATTGCTCTAGCTCCATCACTTCAATGACCTTACATAAACCACTAGATTTATTATCTCGTTTTTCATTGTATTGGTTAGAAGCATCATCTGAATTTTATCACTAATTAAAAGGTTTATTATAAATGGGCCAATTTACCTCTCTTCATATTTCCTTAGCTTGTAAAATAAGACTGTCATCTTGAAAAATTAATTCAATATATTTTAAAATAAAATATTCTAATACATCACTCAAAGCATTGCTTTTTCTTACAACACTATACAACTTAGAAACACTTAACATTTTCTATGTGTATTCATTTCTTAATTTTCTTTTACCTCTTCTTTATCTTTATACATTTATTCATAAGACAATTCATTGTTCTAGATAAATTTTCTTTCTGAAATATATGTTTAGCCTACATTTATGAGAACCCAAGGAGACAGAAATAAATCTCCCTCAGCTTAAGTGAACTCCTTCAAAATAAAAATTTATTTAAAAGGTCATTATTCTTTGATCTGCCACTTATTTCTTTCCTGATTTGTTTTGAGGACTTTTATTATTAAAGGGAGTAGGGAAATGGTTTAACTACCCAATAGTATGAGACTGAAGAAGACTGTTTTAAAGGTTCAGCAAGAAAACTATCATTTTAAAACCAAAGTTGTTCAGAATTCAACTGTTTAACAGTCTCAGACATTAAGGATATTAATTTTACTACAACTATGGCAAAGTGGTCAGCAAAGTGACCTACAATCCCTTCTAAGAAGTCGTGGTCATTTAAAAGTAAATTAGGCTGCATTTAACATTTATTTAAGTATGCTAACATATACTCAAATGTCACTTAATAGAACACTGATATGCTTTCATTATTGAAACTGTTTTTTTTTAAACCACGTGCTTGCCTGAGATTAAAGAATCTCATTACTAAATGTATATTTACTGCAACTCAAGACATATGACCAAGAGTTATAAAGAACCTTACTAAAGTAGTTTTTATGTTGTCAGGAAAATACCTGATTAGTAAATGCATTCTGTACACTTGACGTAAAAAACTGTAAGGTTTTGACTCTCAGGTTAATATATACAAGGTAGTTGGTATTTAAATGAGACAAAGAATTGTGAAAGATACAGTTCATAAATTTGCCTCTTTAAACATTATATATCATTGTGGCAAAGAAATTGTCCCCAGCAGAAAAACTATCAATCCTGATCAAACAGAATGTAAGAGCATTCCAAAGACTTCTGAAGGTAACAAATTAATCTATATTTTACTCAGAGATTCTAAACAATGGCTACGATTTTTCTGTATATTTACAACCAACTGTCCCTAGTTATTCATATCAATTTATTTTCCTCAAATGAACACATTATTTTCGACATACCTGTTGCAGACTGTGAGTTGACATCTGCATCATGAAGAAGTAACAATTTCACAATATCTAAATAACCTCCACTGGATGCCGCCATTAGGGGAGTTATATCTCCTTTATTCCCTCTGTCTTCAACATTAGCATGCATAGCAAGCAATACCTTTAAAACACATAGGCACACAGAGAGAAACTGTCAATTCTTCCAATTAATAGTACTCTAGGTACTATTATACTGAATCTGGGAAGATACTCTTTCAGAATGGAGACAAGTAAAAATAAAAATAATAACCTTTGGGGAAAATATGCTAGTGTTCACTGCTCAAAACACTGGTTAGACGTTATATTTTACAATACCATTACATATTAATCTTTAAGTAAAATAGGTAATCACATAACCATCCAATTATAAAATTTAACTGCTACTGTCAAAAAAATTGTATTATGCTTAGGATTATCCAGCAAGAGAATAGCAAACCTATTCACAAGACAGAAGCTAACTGGTAAACACATGGCTATTTCCCAATATTGATCTAACAGAAAAAAATCAAACTAAAAAGAATTGGGATAATCCAGATGGAATAAAAGTAAATCAACATTTTCCATTATAGTTGTATATTATATCTAATGGCACGTTTAAAATTTACTATTATTAATATTATCTCATGTGGTTTTTTTTCCTTTTTTTCCCTATGTGTCTCTCATTCACTAGGACTATTTTTGAGTAAGTGGCAGAAAAAATGGACCATGCCAAGTACATGCACAGAGAACAAAAATTAATTATGTATCAGTTTCTATTTAACCTACTGCCCAAAAGGAAAGACCTTGGTCTCTAATGATGATTTTTCATTAATGATAAAAATAAATAAAACATCAAAACCTTCCACAATTCTGACCACTAAAGATTACTTCTGCTTACTTGTGCTAATTCATAATACCCAGCTGAACAAGCCAAACACAGCAGGCTTTCTCCTTCTTCAGTATGTTCATTTACACTTCTGCCTTCATCTAGCAGTTTACGAACAGCATTCACATCCCCATCAGAACAAGCTTCTGCCAGACTGCGACTGAAAACAAACCAACACAGAAAAACTCAAGGTCCTATGATAATGACTTGTATTAAATATATACAGTTAGTCATACAAAGAAAAATGCTGATATTATAAGAAAAAAATTATCTGAACATTTGCATGCTAATTTTTCATGTATGTGCACCAAGCCAGAAAGCAGTAAGTAAATGTGAAAACAGCTGTCATTTTTATCTTTCAAAATGTCCTAACATAGTGTCATGTCATATTAAGTTTTAAATAAACTATATAAAGCATTAGATGCACAGTTTTTAAACTAATGTAATGATTCCCAAAGACGTATTTATTTTAAATTTAGAATTTTACTCGGTAATAGTGAGGTGAGTAGAGGTAATAGAAGATGAAAATCTAAATAAAATTTTTACTGCAGAATGAATAACAAAATCGGTGAATCTCTAACTTTAATGTGCATACAAACAGCCCATGTTTCTTGTTAAAATGTAGATTCTGATTCAGTAGATCCAAGTCTGATATTCTACATTTCTAGTAAGTTCTCAGGTGATGCTGATGCTGCTAGTTCCAAGCACCATGTTTGAGTAGCAAGGACCTAGATTACTGCATTAGCAACCCATTTCATTTATTATTACTCAGGTGGTCAGTTTAGAGTTTCAACTATAACCTTTGGAGTAAGTAATTTCATTAAAATGAAAATCAGATATAGAATTGAATACTCAGCAGAAGTCATTAAACACATACGTGTCTATTTGTCCTGCATTGTGACTGTTTTCCGCCCTCATCCGTGTCAGTGCAGCAGCAGCTTCATCCAGTGCACAACTTACTGAGGATGTCAGTCTTCGGAGTACCTCAGGATCTGCAAAGGCTTTACCATCAGCAGTTGACAATTTGCCAATTCCTTCAGTGTGCATCAATTATATGGTGCAGGGGAAGAAGAAGCATAAATGTATAAATTGTAATTACATTTCTAAACACTATTATCTAGGGCAAAATGCATGTGTAAGGCTGACAATTTCAATTTTGCCACTAATGTCAAAAGGCCATTCATAACTACCTATGTTTTAGTCTTTTCATCTTTACAATTCACATAATACTAATTTGTCCTCTACCTAACTCCAAATATAACTTAACGCTTACGGTAAAAAAATGGATGAGATTTCTATCAAAGTATAATTACAGCATCAGATCTACAGTATAAGACCCTATCTATCTATTGATATTCTTAGCAGTAGTGAAGGGGATATTCTTTAATATTACAACAAACAATGCAACCCAAAGTTTCTTCCTTTGATTGAACACCCACCTAGAACCATTTTCTGGGTAAACATGGTAAATTAAAATAAATTATCATATTTTACATTTATTATGTTTTTAAACATGCCAGACAGAAAGGAATAAAACCTAGCTCCTGTCCTTACAGAGCTCACAATCTGGTTGGTCTAGGCTGCCAATAAATCTTTCTCTCTAGATTCAGTGAAGAATCAGTAACAGAAAACTTTGTTGATATCACCACCTGTTACTGCTGAAAATGAGAGAAAAATAGCCAACAAAAACTTATAGAACAAAAAAAAAAACAGGAAAAATTGCACAATAAGAGAAAAAATAGACATTGTGATGCTATCCAATTACAATTGCTATCCAATTACGATTACAGTATGACAGTATGACACCTGCACAGAAAAATAATTCTATCAAGGATATATAATAGAGCCCCCAAGATCCTGGATTATTTGTGAACTCAATATATGACAAAGGTGACACTTCAAATCAATGGAGATAAGAGAGCTTATCTCCTAAACACTATTCAGAAGTTGGCTATTTGAAAATTAGGTAAGATCTCAAATTCATACCATTTACAAAAATAAAAACCAGGTAGACTTAAATGAAATCTGAAAAGTACTATTATACTATGTAGTATTCTTCTATTGCTGATGTTAAGGAGGATTTTCTAACCATGAGACTAAATCACGAAAACTATAAAGTAAAAAATTAGTAAATTTGATATTAAACATGTTTATTTTCAATAAAAATTTCTATATAATTAAAGGCACCATAAATAAAATTAAGGCAAAATAAAAACTTGAAAAATTAACACACAACTAATTTATATCATTTATAAAGAACTACCACACAACTTGTTGATAATATTGACTGAACACAAACTATGAAACTGACCAAAAGAACAAAGGTGTGAGGCCCTTTCAAACAGTTGATAGGAAGGTATAGTAACATAAACTTGAGATTTCTATTGATAAGTTATCAAAATTTTGAATGCAAAAATATCCTGACCTAGCAGTATCACTTTCTAAAACTCTGTCCTACGAAGATACTTGGACAAGCAAGAAAAGTTATAGATATATATGGATATAAAACTATAGCAGTATTTGTGATATAAAAAAATTGGAAATATAATTTTTAAACCTTAAAAATATTTAAAATTAAAAAGGTATATTAACCCCTTAAAAAAAAAATTGGAAATATAAATGACCCAATCCAAAAATGGGCCAAAGAACTAAACAGACATTTCTCCAAGGAAGACATACAGATGGCTAACAAACACATGAAAAGATGCTCAACATCACTCATTATCAGAGAAATGCAAATCAAAACCACAATGAGGTACCATTATACGCCAGTCAGGATGGCTGCTATCCAAAAGTCTACAAGCAATAAATGCTGGAGA